CACAAACTTGTATTTGAAAGGTATTTTGAAGAGTTTGTGATGGAAGTGCTATGTGTACCAAATTTTAAATCAAATGAATATGAGTCGTAGGATGACAGTGAGGTCCACCAATCTGAAGGCTCACATCGATTTGGTGCACATAATATTTCCCGTGATGTAAACTTGATTACTTCATGAGAGCTTATTTTTTCGGGTATTATAATGTAAAGTTATGACTTTAGTGTTAAGCTTTGATAGATGAAACTTATGTATAGATACAAACTAACGGACATTTAGTTCAATGATATTCTTTTCCTTGTGAAAGAGTTCAAGTTCCCCCTCCTTTCTCCATCCCCAACAAAATAAATAAAAAATGTATGGATACAAGATTTGAGAGAACTTTGTAGGTCTCTATTTATCATCCCTACTTGATATTAGATTATGTTGTGATAAATAAATGATGTGGATCTTACTTAGTTGTTTAATATTTATATGATATGGATAATTAGTTGGATTTACTTTATTTTAAATAATGCTCTCACAATCATTTTGATATGCCTGTTTTTTTAAAAAAAAATCTATCAAATTTCTGAAAAAAATATGTATTATTAAAATCGAATGAATTTTTGTATTCAATCTTATTATAAACTGGCAATCTTTTTGGATAAAGAATAATATTTTATTTAAGTCACGCTATTTTGAAATTCGAGTCAGGAGTGTTTGTCTTTGTCTCTCTAGTATTCTCTAGAATGTTTCTTGGAAGAGATCCAAAATAATAAATCAATGTTATAGGGTCATTTAGAACCTTCTAGAATTAGGAAATAACATAGGACTATATTTGTTTAATTTAGTGTTTGACTATGATATTAGAAAAAAATTTCAATAACATACCACTTGACTATTTATATCACCTTTTGGGTTCAATTACTATTGTTTAGGTTTACTTACAACCTTTTTCGACAGAGTTTTTCACTTTTTAAGATAAAACTTACTATTTTTGAATTTTTTTTTCACTTTTTCCTATGGTCCCGTAAAATAAAAAATGTGGTACCATAATGTTTCTGGTTTAATTTAACTCATATTTTTTTCTTTTAATTCCATTTAAAATTTAAAAGTGGTTATTTGACAATATTTGTTTATATAATTTATGTTTGTATTTGTAAAAATTAGAATGATGCCTAAAAATAACTCTTCACTACCATTAGAATGACTCATATCATGTAGTAACTATTTATGTGTGATTCATATTGTCTTTATTATTGTAAGTTCAGATGAACATTCATACAAAGTGAGACTTATCATTTGAAATCAACGAGTACACTTGCACTTGGTTGCAATGAACGTGGCAGTGACAGGGTAAAGTATACACTTTTTTGGGAGAATTACACCCAAATCTCTAAAGTTTGTCATTTAATTACTTAAATTCTTTGACATTTGAAATATTAGATACAAACTCTGCGCATAACACTTTAACCCTTGTTGTAAATTTATCTGTTAATAAATTATACTTAGACTCCTTTAAAGTTTGTAAGTATATAATACTTAGATCCCTCAAATTTAAAATATTATACTTAAACCAAAAATACTCCAACCAAATATAGAATATTAAATATTTTAACTTTTTCAACCAAAATTCATATTCTATTGTATCATTTATTGAAATAAAATTAAAATTAAAATTTTAATTTTTTATTAAAAAATCGTAATTATTATACAATTATACTATCTATCGGAATAAAACTAAAAAAATCAAAAAAGGGGTCTAAGTCATTCATAATAAAACATAGATTTTACATCTAAAATTCATGTTCTATTATGTCATTTATTAAAATAAAACAAAATAAAAAATCTAGTTTTAAAAAAAAAATCATAGTTAGTATATAATTATACTACCTATTAGAATAAAACAAAAAATTAAATAAGGGATCAAACTGTAATGAACACAATATCTTTTAGTTTTAATTGAAGTAGTTTGATATTTTAATTTGATCGTTTAAACGACCAAATTAAATTCCAATAGACGATATAATTTTATACTCATTAAGATTTTTTAAGAAAAAATTAAATTTTTATTTTTGATTTTATTTAAATAAATGATATAATATAACATAAATTTTAATTGTAAAATTTAAAATATTTGATATTTTATCTTTAATTAAAATATTTTTGGTCTAAATATAACATTTTAAACTTAAGGGGTCTAAAAAATATATGTTTACAAACTTCAGGGGATTTGAGTGTATATTTACAGTAGGGGTTTAAGTGTTATGCATATACAAATTTTAGGGGGTCTGTGTGTAAAATTTCAAATGTTAAGGGTCTGAGTGATTAAGTGACAAATTTCAGAGGGTTATAGTGCAATTCTCCCTACATTTTTTTAAAAAAAATTCTATTGCACATCTTAATTGTACATTTATTTATTTTTTGGGTTAAATACTATTGGACATTAATTGCTTCGAGTTTTCGATTAATTAAAAAAAAAATTATACCGAAAATTGCCAAAAACAATCTGTTTGAGCTAAACTTTCCTGAATTTGTACCTAAAAATGAAACACAAATGGAGATAAGGGTGACATTCACATTGCAACGTGGCAGACCTTTTTTCTGTTTGTTTTTTCTTTTTGTAATTAACGATGGAATCTCACAAAGAAAATACAAATGAAAAAGAGAGTATTTTAGATTTTTTTTTTGCAAAATTGTTACTTATTGAGGTTATTTTTTTAAAGCAAAATTGCTGTCTCTAATAGCAATTTTATGTTGGTCACAAGTTCAGGGTAATTTAATTACAAATTTTAAATTTTAGCAGTAGTCTATATTAGGTTAGCGGTTGCCCTAATAACCACAATATTTAATTATTTTTTTTTCAGTTCAATATTCAGGGTTGTTCGAACTAACTTGTGCGCACTTCTACTAATTCCTTCTCCGATCCAATCAAAAGCAAATTATCTATACCGAAATTAGAATATTTATAAGAGATAAAATCTTTTATAACTTGGCCCTAAAGAGTTATTAAATTCGAACTCATGACATTTGATTTTATAATTTATCTCTATTATCATTTGAACTACCTCTTAAAATTATTGTGTTTGTTTTAGACTTTAAGGTCACATGTTTGAACCTTGTCGTCTCCCTCCTCTATGTAATAGTGCCTAGTCGAAAAAAAATGTAGCATCATCTACGAGACTACAACCTTTCATGATAGTAAATAATTTTTTGGAATTAATTAATCCTACAAAGAACTGGCTAATTAATTTCATTTGTTTCCAAAATTTTTAAATACTCATTTATAATATTAATTAAATACCGCTGTCAACAACTATTTTTAAAAAATATATATTTTTTTGTTTTTTTTTGGTGCAAGTTGAGCTATTAGAACGAGTACACGTCAGAGTGAGAAACTCGGCGTTATCCTTTGCTGACTAGGCAGTTTATCCATTCCTCGTCAGCCTCTCGTGTGACGGGACTCAAATAGCAAATTTCCAAAACTTTATGAGTAAAACAGTAAATTTAGTTATAAAATACAAAATCAAACACCCACGCGAGAGAGAAGATTTGCCACCTAAATTTATAATAAGTATTATTTTTTCCTACAAAGTCCTATTATTTTTATTTTATATTAATAAAGTCTTATTTTTAATGTTGTATTTCAGTTAAGTTCTAATTCCATTATATTTTAATTTTATTATTACCTTTTAGTTATCAAAACTGTTTCATTATTTTGTATTCTTAGAATCAATTAATAGAATATTACAGATTCTACATTAATATTAATTTAACCAATTTTTTTTTAAATTATATTCTATTAATTTATATTGGATTTAAATAATTAAATTAATAATTTATTTTAATTATTGTGTTTGAATTGATAAAAACATTAAAATGCTATAAAAAATGCCTAAAATGCATAACTGCTATAATCATGTAAACATAATTCGAAGTCAATACTAAATTAGTTGATTACAATCAATTATTTTTTGATATAAATCCAAAAATGGTATATAATCTTTTAGTACAAATAATAAATAGGTTAAGTTAATGTTAAATAAAAATTATATAAAATTGATGTAATTAACAAGTTTGAAGAGTATTGTATTAATAAAATATTAATTTTTTTTATTTTTGCCAAGTGTTAATATAATTTTTGTATAATAAGAGAATTTATTTAATTATTTTTATAATTGTGTTTATATATATATATAAATTTTATTTTATGAAAAAAATATGAGAATGATTTTAATTAAAAAATAGTAGCACGTCAGATTTAGATTTTATTGTTAAAATGTTTATCACAGGTTATATGAGTTTATACAAATACAACACAAAAAATAAAAAGGTTGGATTACTGGGACACAATTGTTTAAAAGAATTGGATTAGAATTGATTGATTATCGATACAAATCAAATTAACGCGACAAGATGCAATATAACACAATTATTTTTTTTCGGTTCAATAGATAGGGTGTCTGAAATAATTTACATACACTTTGATTAATCTCTTTTTCAGTTCAATCAAAGACAAATTATCCACTCCAAAATTAAGATATTTATGAAAAATAATTTTTTTGTAACTTAACTCCAAGAAATATTAAAATTCAAACCCAAAAAATTTGGATTTATAATCCGTTTATGTTGTCGCTAACGTCTATCCTTCGAGTTGAGACGCCTAAATTATCACTCCTACTTTTTGAATGGTCGTGCATTAACACACCAGAAGAGCGCGTGGCTGTATAAGCAGCAACATCATTCAATTTGATGTTTTTTGGGCCCCGGTGCTGGATAAAATATTGGGTCGAATGGATATGCCAAATTAATAGTGTTATATACCGTAATCATTCAATAAAAAAGAATAAAATTAGTAAAATAGACTTATTTTTTAATATAGAATTAATTATATATAACATGACTAAATAATTATAAGTTTGAGTGAAATTTATTGATTAATTTGTCTATATATTAATAAATTATTATAACACATAATACTGTTACCATGGCATAATGGTTATTGCCAATATTTTTCCCCCCGTGCTGGACCCGTGGTGTCTATAAAAGCAGAAACAACCAAAATGGTTTGCAAAGACGACCAGAAAGACTCTCTCATAGTTCGCCATTTGAATTTTCTCTGAGAAATACAACTAAAATGTCGCTGAGCAATATTTCCGACGATATGTACGGACACTCGCCGTTTTCGGTCAACAACGATCACTCTTCCGGCGAAATGACTGGAGCTGATGTCCAAATTATCACCTCCGGTGGTCTACGCATCCCGGCACACTCTTGCATCCTGGTAATGTACAGTGTTCTTAATCCTCTGTTTCTGAGAATTCTAACACAAATTTTCGTTTGTCGGTTTCAAATGTTCAATCGATTGAGTTCTACTCAAACTACGCTTTCCTCTTCATAATCTGCGTCTGCAAGTTGATTCTTTGTCATTCACGTGTATCTCGCTCTTGAATGCAGTGAAATTGCTCTACTACTCTTTTTGTTACCTTTCGGTTCAGATCAACATCAGACACATTTGTTTCGCGTTTGAAGAGCATTTCCAACAGTTTTTCTCGATCGACAATCGTTGATCTCTGTATTCAAAACTCCTCAAACATCGAAAACTTGCAGAGAATTTGTATTTCTTTATTTTCAATGCATTTGATTCAAAATAGCTTATATTTTGCAGGCCTTAGCTTCGCCTGTACTGGAGAATATCATAGATAGGCCGCGAAAGCACCGGAGCTCCGAGAAGACCATTCCGATCCTCGGCGTTCCTTGCGACGCCGTTGCCGTGTTTCTTCGATTTCTCTATTCCTCCAAGTCAGTTCCCACACAACACGCCAAATCTTATTCTGTTAATTTATTTACTATTTTTTTTATTCATTCAAAACGCAATCCTGATTCTCACGCCATATTCAAGACTATTCCACATATTCTCAAATGTTACCAAAAAGAAATGAATTTGTTGTTTACTTGGTAAACTTAGGCAAATGAAGTTATCAGCCAGGTTAATGACGAAAATTTTCTTGTGTCTCAGGTGCACCGAGGAAGATATGGATAAGTATGGGGTTCATCTGCTCGCTTTGTCTCATGTGTACTTGGTACCACAGCTGAAGCAGAGGTGCACCAAGGGATTGGCTGGACGGCTGATGTTTGAAAATGTGGTGGATGTGCTTCAACTTGCCCGCCTCTGCAATGCCCCTGATCTTTACCTCAAGTGCATGAAGATGGTGTCCAGCAATTTCAAGGCTATTGAGCAGACTGAGGGTTGGAAGTTCCTCCAAAATCATGATCCTTGGCTCGAACTCGAGATCTTACAGTTCATTGATGAAGCTGAAACAGTATAAGATCTAAACTTAGCCTTGAATTTTAATTTCTTTAGTAGGAGACGATGTTGTTTTGTGAAAGCAGTATTACTGTATTAGTTGCTTCAGCAGTAATGTTAAGTAACGAGTTTAACTGTTTTGAATCACAATTATTATTAAAAATTAAAAATTAGTTGTTTCAGCCGTAATCTACAACTAAGAAATGAGTTTAATTCATCTGTTTTGAATCATAATTGTTATTAGAAATTAAAAAAAGCTAGTGCTGCTTTGACTAGGACAACTGTTTTAGTGTTGATTTTTGCGTTTACTTATCAAGTTTTTCTGTATAAAACAGAGGAAGAAGAGAACAAGGAGGCATAGAGAGGCACAAAGCTTGTATTTACAGCTAAGTGAAGCGATGGAGTGTTTGGAGCACATATGCACGGAAGGTTGCATGAGTGTTGGGCCATATGACGTTGAGCCTAGCAAGAATAGAGGTCCATGTAGCAAGTTCTCTACGTGTCAAGGTCTCCAACTCTTGATTCGACACTTTGCTACTTGTAAAAGGAGGGTTAATGGAGGGTGTTTACGGTGTAAACGTATGTGGCAGCTTCTAAGACTTCACTCCTCAATATGTGACCAGCCTGATGCTTGCAAGGTTCCGCTTTGCAGGTAATTAATAGAGCTTGACACGTTCTTGACTTGTTATTAACTTGAGTTTATTTTGTTCAGATTTAGACATTGAAATAGTAGCTTAAGCAAAAAATAGTGAAAGCTAAGCTATCATAGAGTTCAAACTTAATGGGACGTTCCTTTAGGATACGAAAAAGCTGATTTTTTTTGTTGTTTTGGCTGGCATGGGATCCTTGTCATATTGTATTACTAGTTATGGATACCGCCACAGAGAAACACATCCAAGACTCTACATTTAATGAATTCCAATTATACGGTCCAGATTCTTTTTAGTTGGACAATGGATCCCATCCAGCAGTGTTGTAGTCCAAGCCGCCCTCAAAAATGTTTGCCTTGGGATATTTTTCTTCTGATCTGGTGCTGGTTTGTAGGGTCAACTTGTTCTTTGGTTTGATTACTTCGACCCTCATCCGTCCACCATCTGTCCTTCTAATTTCTGATGGGGAAGTGGTTAGCCTGGTTTGAATGACCTTGTGCGATATTTTTCATACATAATCAAAATGCTGAATTATGTTGTTTTGAATTGGATGATGCATCACAATAATTGAGGTTTCCAATGCCATAATATCTTCCCCTGATTTGAATTGGATGATGCATCATGAATATTAGGAAGAAAGGGACTTTAGGAGGCTAAAAATGACAATGTAGGTGGTCTTTTCCCAAAAAGAGACGACAAAAACTTAAGTTTCCCTATCAGTCTTCAATCACTATTGTGGCATCCTCTTGTAAGGTGGGTTTTTGCCGAGCTGAGGTAAACTATTAGGGTGGTGTCAATTTCATCGATTTTAGGTAGCTTCTACACCTAACATTCATGGGTCATAAATCATGAAACCTGTGTTTGTCTAATGTCAAAAATATTCTCTTAGAATAAGGTTTGAATATCTAGTCCATCCCCCCTGAATTCGTGGTAGGCCACAGTCATCCTAGGTGATGCCGAACGTTGTTAGATTGTAGAAGCCCGGTCCTTGTCGGTTCTTGTCATATTGTTGTTGCTCATGCTGCCAAAAATATTATAATCAGTAATTCTGAATTACATCTACCTTTTGCTCTATCAGCGTGGAAGGGTCATACGTATCTGCTACTCTACAATATATTTAATTGTTTTTCCTGGTATGAGTGCTAGTTAATTGTATGCGTTTTAATATGGATTTTGTGTCATGTAACAGACAGTTCAAATTGAAAATGCAACAAGAGAAAAAGAGAGACGATGCAAGGTGGAGGCTACTGGTGAGGAAGGTGGTGTCCGCCAAGGCCATATCTTCCTTGTCTCTGCCCAAGAGAAAGAGAGAAGAACCAAGAGAGGCCATAAATCACAGTGGGGTTAGAATGTTCGAATTATAAAATTGTGGTCACAAATTGCCACAGTCCATTTCTCGGTGTGCATAAGATGGACGATAAATGTTTATTGAAGAAGTTATAGAGTTAATTAAAAAATGCACTGGTTTGAAAGGCTTGTTAGAATTTTCCACGTGGGTGAGCTCGTCTACATTATTATTTCATTTTAGAGATCTAAGTGGGTATTGTACATGGCGGTTATTTTGGTTAGTCATCTTATGGTATTGCTGTTAAAATAATAATAATAAAATTTAAGTTATGCCTTTTGCACCCTTGTCATTCAATGGTCCAGTTATCAATGTTGTAATAGAAGGACCCTTGGTTTGATGATGGGTCAACATATAGTTATTTTGTATTCTTCTCCAATACTGTGGATTGAATGGTCTATTGCCAATCTACTTCTATCCAATATTGCATGCCTAAGTTACTTACCTGTTTGCAATTTGCTTCAATTTTATGTTACTCCAATTCACAAAGAGCTACTAGTCAAACGAATGCTGCTCTTTGTTCTTTCTTCTTTTTGTTCCATATTTTCTATGATTTTGTATATTTTTGTTGAAGCATTCGTCTCGGGTTTGACTAAGAGAATTAACCTCTCTAAAATCGAAGTAAAAATGTCCATTGCTTACCTCGCCTAGGCGTGGGCTTGGTGTTTTGGACATGGCTTTTCGCCTGGTTCTATATGGCGTCATTACCACATAAAAAAGAAGGAATAAGGTAGTTGTTTGTTGGCCAGACAAATAAAAAAGGGAAATCAAGAACGGGATTGTAATAACTTCCTATGATCCGTCCTCCTTGCAGATTCTCACTATTATTTTCCTTTATTAGACATAGACCTGTTCATAGGAAAAGTTGAGGATAATATCAAATACTCTGATCATTTCAAGTGGTAATAAAGATAAGTTGTAAACTCAGACGTCCTGTATTCGAATTTTAATAATCCTTTGGAGTCAGGTTATAAGAGATTTATCCCTCATGAATTTCTTAGTTCCGGCGTGGATAATTTGCCTTTGACTGGACTGGAAAAAGATTAATTAAAATGCGCATAAGCTAACCCAAATACCTCAGACCGTTAAAATAAAAAAAAAACACGTCAATTAAAGAATGGATTAGAGCATAATAAGGGTGTTAATTTCATCTATCGACGTAAACACGATACAAATTTAACACGACATGAAATAAAAAATAATACAACAGATTAATATGTCAAATTAAGATTAAATATGAATAACACAATCTATATAATAAAACAGGAATGTGTTTGAATTTTATTTCAATCATATTTTTCTCCTTAAAATTATCACCAATCATTTACCTTACCCATAATTCCTTTGTCAGACTCAAACGTCAAATCACATCACTTATTTCTATTATATGTTTAATCATTTATATATTTTTTCCCTAAAAATATTACATTACTCATTTTTATCATATATTTAATTATTTAATATTTAATTAATTTATAGTTAATATATTTTGAAAAAAATTAATATAATAGAATCGATTTTTTGAACGCTCGAATTTTATATGTTATCGTGTTTTCAGGTATGGATTATGACTAGTTAATTAATATCGTAAACAACAAATAAACAATTATATTTTTGTTAGGCCTTGGCTTCGCATGCGTACATTTGTTGGTTGGATTTTACTACAACCGCTAAACTAATGGTTTAGGGGCAAAATTAGAAACATTCATACGTGTCACTGTCGGAAAGATCTAGGAGGGCTACATGGATGGTGGAGGAGAGAAGGGAGAGAGGTTGCTTCTTAAGACTTCGGGCATAGAAAGGGAAATGTTCCCAAGTAATGGAAAAAAGAGACACGGGTTCTAATACATCACGTGACAGTGACAGCTGATGTGTACATTTAATAAGAGTTTGCCACACAAACTAGCTTGGGAAATGTGTGACCACAAGTTAACGTTTTGCTAAAAATTTTCACAAATGATAAGTGATAATCATGCATTAGACTTATATAAATTTTTATCGGTGATGTATTTGACAATGTGTGCTAAACCCACACAAAAATTTCTTCCGATATAGCCTCTATTTTGCTTGTGGGTTATTGAGGTAGGGTCTCGGTCATCAATGTAAAGAGTCGTCGATTGAGATATTTTGGTGCTTTGATCATGAAAAATAAGAACTACGAGATACTCTTATTTTCTAATTAAACAAAGATACCCGTGATTCTTCAATTGATGGAGATTTCTTATGATTACCCAAACACGTATTTGACATAACATCACATTGTGTTTCACATATTATCTTTCTAAGGTTAAACCTCTCTCTTAAATCAACTCACAAAATTACAAGCTTGTTAGAGTTTTTCGGAGCGTCAGCATAGTTATCTATGTTGCAATGATACACTACTCCACTGTCTAAAAATGCCATGAATCGCCTGTGTTTGCACTAATCATGTCTATTAGCACGTGTTTGCATATAAATGGGAGCAAGACATCCCCCACCATTGATCAATACATGACTAATGTTCCCATAGATTCGAATGTTTATCATAAAAAAATGGTCGGAAAGTGTGGTGGGTTCAAACCTTAAAAGCTCTAATGAAGAAGATTTCTAGACTTGGAAAATGTTTGGTCGTTGAGTTTGGTCAGACCAAAGAAAGTGGTTTTTCCATGATTTTATGATGGCGGACAAGGTGGTGCAGACATGCTTAAAAATGGTAATGTTTTATAAGAGAAAATGAGTACTACTCCCTCAACAAGGAATCTTCTTACGGTTTGCCTTTGTTTAGTAGTCTATTTGGGACTGCTGTAAGAAGACAAACTTTATGATCAAGAAGTTTGGGTTTGACTACGGTCTCGGAAATAAAAATTTTAATACTGTTTGATGTATTCATTTTTTTGGTTCACTTAATATATAATTTTAATAATTTCGATGTAAAATTTCTCAAGTTTTATGGGTATTCTCTTGATTACAATTTGCATGCCGGTCACGTGGTAGATCCACCGCTAGACGATGTTATTATTTGAACTACTAATTTTTTATTGGAATTGTTTATTCAACATAAAATTGATATAATAGTAACAAATATTAGTTTAGTATTAACGAATTCAACACATAACTAGGTTAATTGGCCAAACCTATCAATCTAACCCTTCACAACTATATTAAATAAATAAAAAATCGAGTATGAATTAAATAAATAAGGTGGTTTATTGTCAATCCCTAGCCCAATAAGGTTATTGGTAAGCTCTCATAGCCGGAAGAGCGATGTGTAGCTCTTGAATAATATCTGTGGCCCGAAATTCCCGGAGATGGGCCCTATTCTCCGGCTCTTATGGGCCCAAAAATTGCATTGTGGCAGACATTCTTCATTGGCATTGCTCTTTTCTTTTTCACTCTCTCACTGGCATTCCCCCCACACTTGCAACTTCTATTCCCAAGGTGATGGCCCACTGAGTTCATGTATTGGGGCCCCTCTTGTAAATTATTCTTGGGTAAATTATAAAAGGTACACTAAATTAGATTTATTTGGTAAAAAATACACACTAAAAAATATAGGGTTATTAAGTCCTTAATTTTGATACTTATTTGTATTTAAATACACAATTTGAATTTGCCTAATTTTTTTGTGACATTTTTGTCCTCCATTGATCCATGTATATGTTCTTTGGAAAGTGGTACATTAAATATCTCCTAGTTTTATGAGAGAATTTTAGTATTTAACGCACATTGATTTATGTGTATTTGTTAATATATATATACTAATCATAACCCGTGCCTGAAAACATGATAAAATATAAAATTCAAGCGTCTAAAAAATCGATCTTACTATATTAAATTAATATATAAAATTAATTAAATATTAATGATTAAATATACGATAGAAATGAGTGATGTGATGTTTTTAGGGAGAAAATATATAAATGATTAAATATGTGATAAAAATAAGTGATATAATTTAACGTTTGAGTCTGACAAGAGATAATGAGTGAAATAAGTGATTGGTGATGATTTTGAGAGGAAAAATATGACTGAGATAAAATTCAAACACACTTATGTTTTATTATATAAAATTCAAACACACTTTTATATACACTTTACATATATACATGTAAAGTATAACATTGAAAGTGTAAAGTGTAAAGTATTATCTTATGTCTCACATTTCTTAATGAAAAGTGTAAAGTGTTATAGAGTAAATATTGAAAGTAACAATAACAATGTAACAAATTATTTACACAAGGTAAAGGGAGACATTACTTAAAATGTTACACAAACAGAATATATATGTCTCATCTTACACTAAAAATGCTAATTAATTGAGAAAGTGTGAAAGTGTTTTACTTTCAATGTTAACATGTAACATTTTACACTTTCCATTAAGTAAAGTGAGACATAAGGTAATACTTTACACTTTACATTTTCAATGTTAAACTTTTCACTTTCAATGTTACACATTCCACACACACAAGTATAAATATAAATATATATACGTATATTATATTTATATACATATATACAAGTATATATATACATATAAATAAATAAATAAATAAATATATATATATATATATATATATATATATATATATATATTAACAAATACACATGAATTAATGTACATTAAATATTAAAGTTCTCCTATAAAACTAGAAGATATTTAATGCACCACTTTTCCTAAAATGGGCATTTATGTCTTTGTATCTAACTAGTGTATCTTTTTCCATAATATTTTTTAATATGTACTTTTTGTCAAATAAATCTAATTAGGTGTACCGACTTCTAAAAATCATTAATCTTTTGGTTTTGTGATGATTTGTTCATGGGCTTTCAGAGATTGGGGAAGACCGATAGATTTAATTGTGTGCAATCGATTTATATTATGAGCATGGCAACGAGTACCTAAAAATAATTGTATTATAGTCAATCTACAAGAACCTAACAACGAATCATACTACAATTCAATCTACGTTATTACGAAAGAGGAAAAACATCTAATCACGAGCCTAAAAAATTGAAGGGCTGGAAGTGGAATAAATCACCCGTAAATGAACAGAATATATTAGTCTGTATATTTGATATTGATTGATATCTTATTTTCCATATCAAAAAAAAAATCATGAGAGGCAAACTAAGACACGGGTGAATGGTGATGGAATATAATGAGTTTCAAGTAATGTAAAGATTATGTTCCCCTTTTATTCAAGCTCGATTTGGCTCAATCTGTAGCTAAGTTCAACTATACTGTGCATTTTGCGAAACAAGTGCTGGGCTTATTTTTGGCCCATAGAAATATGAAATTTAAGCGGCCCATTATATATTTTTTTGAGAAATTCGGAGGCCGGTTCTCCTATATGGACTTGTTTGGACTTAAGTCCGTGAAGGAAACTTATTTGTTATGAAGTCTATTTTTTGTCAATTTTACCGTACTATCCATTACTTTT